AACACAACGTGGTGCGATCATCCCCCTTGCGCGGAGTGAGGGTTGTCGACCCCGCACAACATGATCTACTCGACCACCATAATGGTTACCGCCAAAAAAAAACAGAGGTAAAAAAAAATAAGCGGTAACCTGGTTGCCGAGCTCACGAAGTGAAATGGCTTGTTTTACATCGTCGTTGCCCATGGACAACCCAATCCCGATGGTTGACACCGACGGGGGGGCTTGTTTTACAACGTCGTTGCTAAGCGACGAAAACCCAACCCCGATGGTCAACACCGGGGGCGCCTCAAGTGGGGGAATGACATTTGTCTCTGCCAGAGGATTTTCTTGGCGGTGGTACAGGGCAGGTCGCGCGTACGCAGGGGAAGAGGCGGCAGACTAGTTTCGAACAAACCAGCACGACTGAAGAGCATGACGCACTACGAACATTCCCCCGGTTCTGCACAGCACTGACTGCAGCATGCAGCAGAAAATGCATTACATGAAACACACTTTCAAGTCTTCGACCCTAAATTACTCGTGGAATGTTTTGAAATTTCGAATTACGGACCACTGCGGTATCGCCACTCAATATATAGCTGATTGTCATCCTGAAACGAAGCTTGGCTAGTGCTCTGTTACGAGATAATGTCGACAGCCGTTGCTGCTGTTACGGCAAGGGTAATCAATGCTACGCATAAGACCTCAACATCTTGGATTCGCAGTCTCACAACAAGAGTTACCTCAGGACAAAGAAAACCAATCTTCGGAAATCAGTTTTTCGTCAGCGTTGCGGAACTGGTATGTGCAACAAGGTGGAGGTACCAATGTTGCACGTTGTTGGGACTTGACAGGTCTCCAGCACTTGCTGACATAACCGAGACATGGATTTTTTTTATCAGGATGAACTTGCTACCCCCAAAATGAGCCCAGACAAAATGCTTGCTCACACAGTATAGATCAGGCTAAACCTGCTTCCCCTAAAGAGAGTCCAGATAAGACATTCATAACGTATTTTGCCGGGGAAAGAAAGTTGGGCTCATCACGGCTGTGAGGAAGACGGAAGACACTAGAAACCTTGTCATTCTCTGCATTCCATTAAATCGCTCAATATAATAATATCATATAGTAATATTTCTAACAACATGCTACACACATCGTATCACGAGTTTCGCGGAGCACTTGTGATCAAGGGTCTACTGGCTGTACCTGCGGCGTATTTCCTGCTGCGATTAGATTGAATTAAGAGTAAGACTTTGTCGGCAGTGCCATGCTGCAATGCCGCGTGGTACAGCCGACAAGCTAGTCGCGGCAGGGAATAAATACAGCGCGCGGTACTGCCGAGAAATCCTTGGTCACCAGTACCCCACAGCCACTGATGCCGGTTGGAAGCTGACGGTATGGCATGTGTGGTTCTGCACGGTGTTTTAATTAGTGTTGTGTGATTTCGTGGAATGCAGAGAATGACGAGGTTTCTGGTGTCTTGATCTTCCTGGGCCACGCTCAAACTCTCCTCACTTCGCATACTTCCATAAGAGGGAAACACAGGCGTGGTCCCGGTTCAGCTGTTCCCTGTTCAGCACGATGCCCTGAACAGCGGTTCCAAAATCTCGTGGCACGACTGCACCTCGGTAGTCAAGTTACTATGCCTATTAAGTACTTGAGTACTGCGGGGTATATGACTGCCGATCCGCTTTAGCGCCGCTGCCCTCAATAGCGTCTATGATTTCTTTTGACACCATGAACCGCCAAACCGGGACCATGACTTGCACTTGCCTACGGTGGGGGCCCCGGTATAGCTAGCCCCGCGACATGCCCTGTTTACGGACCAAAAAATCACGTGGCACAGCCGCACCCCGTTAGTATGACTGCTACATACACTTGGCAGTTCGCTTTTCGACAAGCCCTGAGTAGCGACCACATTTCGTCGCTGAAACCGTCCCCCCCACAGTACAAGAATCGTTCCACACCTTCGCTTGTGCTTTTCGTGTCGTGCAGCCTGCCGTGGATGACGGGCACCGCTGTGAACCCTCTGCTGCGGGCGGCTTACCTCACTCGGGGACGCGACAAGGGGAAGGTGAGCTGAGGTGGCACACAAAAAGTCTCGTCTTTGTACAGCAGCATGTTTGTAAGGTACTGTGTTGAAGTATGAAACGTCAGCACAGCGATCTCATCAACAACACCAATGCCGACACCGAAGAGCCGCATGCATGCCCAGGTTACGCTAGGGGTGCCGTGGCTTGTGGACGAGGACCAGGAGAAAGTCTACCCCAAGGGAAAGCGATATGCAGCCAAAGAAGATCAGGTGCGATTGTAAATCCCGACTGCAATCAAAACCTACCTAATAATGGAACGGTAGAACTTGTTCTGGGTAATTCTTCTGCGTATTACGTTGTATGCGAGCTTTGCGTCCAAGCTTCAAATCGACGACGATCACGTGCTGTCGCCTCTTTGCGAAGTCTGCCAGCGCCTGCTGTAGCTGTTATCCCTGCTGTTACTCCCGCTAGCGGTGGTGGGGCTGACAGGTGTACTGTAGCTGTTGTCAACAAGAGCTACCTACCGTACCTGCTGCCGCCATCATTGCTCTAAAGCGCTTGTGCCGCTACCGCTGCTGCTTCTGCTGCTGCTTCTGATGCTCGTGGGGTTTCCACTCTCCGTGGCAGGAGGCATACGTTCGCGAGTGGCTCGTCAAGGCGGGCCTCGAGGAAGAGTCCAAGAACCTCGACATTTTGTTCTACCCAGCGAGGTACCACGAACAGTTCGGGTCCATCTTCCCTATGGGAGACCTCGCGGCGCAGGTGGGGCATGATTCTTCCAAGATAGTTCGTAGGGGCGATCGGGAGCAAGGAGTGCTCGGGGGGTGGGGGTGTACTCATAGTCGTGCATGCCGTAGCCGTTGGACCATTGACCTCGCATCCCTACGAAGCCGGGACGGAGCACGCCGGGTTCTCACCGGACCAGGCTCTCACATCACCAAGCACGAAGCGCCGGGAGATATTCGGCGAGTCGCATGAAGGGTGCGCTGCATCCTGCTAAGGGTTTTCGGCATCTTGTGCTTACTTCCTTGCGTACGGA